TTGACTTTGGTGAGAGATCTCTCAGTCATAAGACAAATGTACAATATTTGTACTGTGAATCCTTCTTTTACTCGCAGGATGTTTAATGATGGGGAAAAGCGATGAGATCCAGAGGTCTGAGCTGTCCCTGGTCCAGAGGACACCAGGGCTTGTTGCTCTGCTGGAAACCATTGTCTCCAGCCCACCCCCACCCAGTCTGTGGATGTGGGCGACAGGGAGGAAATGGTCTCTCAAAAGAGTGTATTTCTCAGATCCCACTCCAGGAATTCAGGTTTCTTGGCTCTTCATACAGAAGGCACTAGAGGCTTTCCCAACTGTCTCTGTTATGGCAAGATGGGCAGCCAGCTAGCTGAGCCATGCCTGGAAGTGCTGATGGCAGGGCGTTTGACTAGCAGTGGGGGTGTGGCTTTGACCCCACAGTAGTTGCCTGTAACTTTCACACTTGGAATTTCTCCCGGGTGGCTCTCCTCTGAGGGTCCTGCTTCACATCTGGAAGAGTCGCCGAGAGAAGATGTCGATTGTGAGCTCCTTGAATGCGCTTGCTGCATTCCTACTTCCAGAGGCATTTAGAGCTGTAAGCCAAGGTCAAAGATAGAGTTGGACCCTGAGAGAAGAAGTGATTGGCCAGGATAACATGGCTAGTGGGAGATTTTTTTTGCCATTTGGCTTCATGACTTGCTTTCCCCATGAAATGTGAGCATGCAGAAGCTTTTAATAGCCGGCTTGTGCTTTGCTCTCCTATCTTCCTACCTCCCTGAGACCAACAACGGCCCACATAGAGGCTGCTCCATCAGCCTGCATCCTGCAGTAAAGATGATATAGATACATGGTCACGATCAACCCATAATGGACGTGTAACACAAGCAAGATATAGCAATACCTGGGTTGCAAGCCGCAGAGATCATTGGGATCATTTATCATGACATAACCCAATACAGGGATACAACTAAACACCATCCTTCCAAATCCGAGGCAGTGGATATTAATTACTTCCTTTGCGTGTGAGTTATTTATCCCTGCATGACAAATTACCCCAAAATGTAGGAGCCTAAAGCAACACACATGTATTAACTCACAGTTTCTGTGGGTCAGGGACCTGAGCGCGGCTTAACTGGGTTCCTTGCCCCAGAGCTTCTCAGAAGGCTTCCGTCAGGGTGTTGGCCAGATGTGGGGTCCCATCCGGAGGTTCACCTGGGGAAGGATCTGCATCCAAGCTCACATGGTTGTTGGCAGCACCCTGGTCCTCGGGGAGTGGTGAGCTTAAGTCCTCAGTTCCTGGCTGGCTGTTGGCCAGAGCTTGCCCATGGGGCCTCTCTAACACGGCCACTTACTTCATGAGAACATGCAAGCCTAGAAGGCAATAGACGGTCTGCTAGCAGATCAGAAGTCATAGTTCTTACAACCTAATCGTGGAAGTGACATCCATCATGTTTGTCTTACTCTATTCATGAAAAGCCAGTTGTGTGTCCCGCCAACTCTCCAGGGCGGGGCATTACGGAAGGGTGTGGGCTCCAGGAGGTAGGACCACATGGGGCCACCCTAGCAGCCTATCCACCAGTTTGTTTTCAAAGGGACTATTTATTGGTTGGAAGTAGGGGAGCCCTCTGCCATCTGCCAAGATTACACTGGCCCATCAACCAAAAGCAGGTTTCGATGGCTAAATCACCTTCATTCATACTTGATCCATTCCCATCCCTGCTTTATGGATTTAGATATTTTCTTTAGGTCTCGATCCTTCCTTGACAAAAGCCCACATGTTCTGTTACCTATCCTGCTCCAACCCCTAGTCATCCCTTGTAGTGACAGAAAAGAGTCAACGAAGCAGGCTAGAAGCAACTTGTGGAACCTTGAAACATTCAAGCCAGAAAGGCCACATGAAAGAGGATGGAGTTCTCAATGACTGTCTCCTCAACCCCGACCCTCACTCCCAGCCTTTTATCAACCAGTTATTGCTATGAAACAACTAACCATGATGTCTCGGTACACACAGTAACAGACATGCATTTCTCATATATGCGTCTGCAGCTTGGCTGGCACAGCTCTGCAGCCCAGATGGAGGTTCTATAGGTCACCCTGAGGGTAGCTCTGCTCCCCATGTTTTTCATTTTTCTGGGAACAATGGGCTGCCGCAGGTATGTTCTGCTTATGGACATGGCAAAAGCACAAGAGGGCAAGCCCTAATGCCCAAGCACATTCTCAGCCTTTGCGTGTGTGTCCCGTCTGCTAATATCTCACTGGCCAAAGCCTATCAACGGCGTAGCTCAAGGTCAAGGGGGGATGCATGCTCTGCTGGCCATGGGGGCTAAGTGTGGATGCACCATATAGAGGGTGAATATTCGGGACCCAGAACTCAGTAAAACACACTTATCCATTCCCCCCACCCCAACCTCATGCTGCACCACATTGAAGTTTCAAGTTTATTATGGAAACACCTGGAGGGAAATAGAAGTGGGTAAAAGCAGGTGTCTGCCTCAAGTCTTACCGGAGAGACAGGACTGTATTTAAAGAAACCGGACAAGGCGGTGCAGGCTGCAGGTGGATGGCAGGGTAGGTGGGGCTGTGGAGTGGTTTTGGGGACAATAGAGAGGCACTGGGGATCCCCTCCTTTCTCTCGGTCCTGGAGAGGCTCTCTGGTGTCTGGTGAGGTTCTTCCCACGGTGAGGCACACCCCACAAGCCGGCACACGGGAGGCGGTTTAGGAGATACGATACAGGAGGAGGCACCGCCTAGCTTTGAATCACAGCGTGAGAGTGAGATTCCTTTTCCTGGTGATCTTGCAATGATTCTGACGCCAAGGAGAGTGTCCTTCTGTGCTAGCGAGTCCCCAACCCCTCCCTGGCTGACTGATCGGGAACCTGGGGTTCAGAGTCTGACTCTTCCAGGCAACAGGATCTGGCTGGAATATACTAACACTGGGTATTTTTGGGGGCAGTGTTTGTATCTGTGAGTTAGTCCTCTATGTTGGGTAAATGGCACTGGTTTCCTGTTTACTGGGATGCTATAGGGCTTCTTTGGAAATGAATAGAGTTAAATAAACAGTTGATTTAAAGAGAAAATATTAAGTGAATGCTAGTACAGGTGGCACGTGGATATGGCAGGAACGATGGCTTGGCCTTTGGTTAGCATGTGGTAAACAGTGAAGTGGTAAGAACAGAAGAGGGGCTTGCTGCAGTTGGTCAGGGTTCAAACCCACCCTTCATGTGTCACATGGGGCCTTTGAGCAGGTTCATTAGGTAGCTTCTCTGACCTTCAGTTTCTTCATGGATAGAACTTCTTTTGTAGGGCTGTTGTGTTATATTGAAGGTAATGTTTGCAAAGTGTTGGGACACAGTAAACACTCCGGAGATGAACTGGCTCCAGCCCCTACCTGGGCTGTCCATTCTGGGAGAACTTTCTGAGTTCCTCTGTCTTCCAAGTGGCCAGTGGGACTCTAATCCTCTTCTGCTTTTCTTCCCTTTTAAAGGCAGGGCCTCAGTTCAAATGAACACCTTCCTGCCCCCACCCCCTCCAGCCCTACAGAGAGTCCCCTGCATCGGGGTTGGTGACCTGGAGCAGCCATTAAATCCCAGAATTCAAAGGGAGAGAACAGATGGGCCACAGGAACAGCCAGGAACCTCAGGACCTCAGCAGGAGGGAGGAGGGCCTTTAGAGGGGGTCTCTAATCTCCTAAAGATCTCCAGTTTCTACCCAGGGAGGCTCTCAATCCCAGCAGGATTGAAAAAAGGCACCAGACAATTTACACATCACGTCCTGGCCCCACCAGCCAGTGCGCAATACATTTGTATTTCCTAAAAGTGTTTCTAATTCTCTCTTCCATAGCACAATCTCTTGCCTTATATTTTGGGGTGTATGCGAATATCACTCACCTGTTAAATTATTATTATTATTATTTTTACCTGTTAAATTAAAAGCTTGAAATATACTGTACCCATTGGGGGCCTGTTTTGGAATTTCAACTGTTCAATATGCTCACTGCTTCCCCCACTCCGGAGATGGGAGGCGGGTCCCTCTGGCCTCCTCCCCATCCCCCCAAGAACCTCCAGAGCACATTTGTCCTCTCAGTTTCCAGATGGGGGAACTGAGGCAGGGACCGTGAGGGGTAAGGTCAGGAAGCTGAAGAAAAGCACCAGAGAAGGTGTTCTAAAGCTGGGAGTCCGATTCTAGAACTCTCATCCTTAACCCTCACGGGAAGGGAAGGGGAGAATCCGGGAGCAGAGGGACAGGGGAGGGAGTGGAGGCAGGTCAGGGCGAGCACCCAGGAGGGAGTCCAGGCTGGAGGAGCGGAGCTTTTCTCCCTCTTTCTCCAACCGCGCCACAGACTCTGCCCCATGCTTGGCGGGAATGGTGAGGGGAGGCAGCAGGGGACTGGGTGGGTGGGCTGGGGGGTTGGGGTCCGAGGGAGCTCCCCGGGGATCGGGGGTCCCGGGGCGCCGGAGGACCGGATGGGGGGGGCGGGGTGCCGGGGGCACCGCCGGGGGACCGGGGCCGGAGGTCGAGGGGCCGGAGTGGCTGGGGAGGTGGCCGGAGGGCAGGGGCCTGGGGTCCGGGGGCGCCCCCGGGGGATGGGGGGGCCGGGGCACCGAGGGGGGCGGGGGCACTGCCGGGGGACCGGGGGCCAGAGGTTCGGGGCCGGGGCGGGGGGCCGGAGTGGCGTGGGGAGGTGGCGGGAGGGCGGGGGCCTGGGGTCCGGGGTCCGGGGGCGCCCCCGGGGGATGGGGCCCGGGGCACCGAGGGGGGCGGGGGCACTGCCGGGGGACCGGGGGCCAGAGGTTCGGGGCCGGGCGGGGGGGGGAGTGGCGTGGGGAGGTGGCGGGAGGGCGGGGGCCCTGGGGTGCGGGGTCCGGGGGCGCCCCCCGGGCTGAGGCCTTTCCCGCCAGCCGCCGGCCCTCCCACTCGCTCTCCCGGTCCCTGACATCACGCCCCGGGAGGCGGGATCCGGGAAGGAGGGGACGCGGGGAGGAGGGGGGAGGGGGGGGGGGAGGGAGGAGGGAGGAGGGAGGGCGCGCAGTCCCAGCCCAGAGCTTCAAAACAGCCCGGCGGCCTCGCCTCGCGCCCAGCCCGTCGGTCGGTCGAGCCGCGCCAGCGCCGGGTGAGTCGGGCTCGGCCTCCCGGGAGGCGCGGGGCGCGGGGCCACGCGGGGGGGGCTGCGGGCAGCGTGCGCGCGGGGAGGGGCCGCGAGCCCCCGCACCCACGGACCGAGGGAGCCCCCGCCGTGGGGAGGGGCCGAGGCCCATCCGTACCGCCGCCCCGGGCGCGGCCGTCCCCCCACTGGCCGAGCTCGCCCGGACCCCGAATTCCACCTCCCCACCCCGGGACTGCTTCCTGCGCCTTTTGCGCCGAGGCGGCGGGAAAAGTTTGGGGAGGAGTCAGGGCGGCGCCCCTCGCCCCCGGACTGCGCTCCCGGGGCTCCCGGAGTCAGGGCAGCCCCTGGCCGCGAAGGTCCCGGCGCCCCGGGCGCAGTCTCCCTCCTGGCCGAGCGGACGGGGCGGGCTGCGCCCAGGCGGGGTCAGCGGTCCCCTGCTCTCCCCGGCGGCGGCTCCGTGGCGCCCCCCAGCGACCAGGAGCAACTTCCTGAGGTCTGGAGGCGCCGCAGGGCCCACGCTGGTCCCTCCCCACTCTGGTTGGGTTTTGGGGGCTTTGAGGATCCCCCCTGCCGTGGGCTCCGGAGAAGGGAGAGGCAGAGCGTGTAGACAGGGGCCATACACTCTCCAAATCCAGGGTCCTCAGCACACCCCACGGAGGCCCTAATTTGGGGCTGACGGGGAAACCTCACAAGCAGAGACCAGTGGAGGGACACCCCGCAGGGCAAAGCCCTCCCTCCAGGCCACAGAACCCAATACATCATTTGGGAACAAGGCAGACAGCCCAGTTTTGGGTTTGGGAAAAACCTGCACTGGCATCCTCCCAAGCTCCAAAGATATGGGGTGGGGTCGGAGGTGGTCTCTTAACCTAGCTGTGTCTGCAGTGGAGAGACCAGCCTGAAAAGTGGAGGGCAGAGGAGAGGTGAGGGGCTTGAGAAGCCTGCAGCCCACCTCCTGTGTGACCCCACTGAGGCAGGGTGCCTAGGAGGGGCAGATTCATAGGGGCAGAAACAGAAAGTACAGGTCACCAGGCGCCGGGGCAGGTGGGAGTCATTGCTTTATGGGTCTGGAGTTTCTGTCCAGCAGGGTGAAAACATTTGGGACATAGGTAGTGGTGATGGTTACGTGACATTTGGGGCGTATTTAACGTATGTGAATTCTGCAGTTAAAGTGGTTACATGATTGGTAGTAGGTTATGTATATTTTGCCACAATTAAAAAAAAAAAGTCTCCAGTTCCCTCTCTGCTTCCGTCTGAATTAGTCAGGAATCCCCGAGGCTGTTGACTGTTGCAGGCCACCTGTCCCCAGGATTTGGCCTCAGTATAAGGAAGTGGAAGGAGGCCGAGGGGGGACCAGGAGCCTGGGTTTCCCCAGCATCAGGAAGGGACCAAGGTGAGAACCAAAGCTAATGGAGCTTTTTTGCAGGGCGCCCACGCTCTCCACTTCTGGAAGCCTCGCGTGGCTCCTGCCATCCCTGCTCCCCAGGTGGCAAGTGGGGAGGGCCAGGCCAGAGACGTTAAGTCAATTTCTCAAGATCACTGAGCCACTAAGGGCCACGACTTTGAACCCCTGTCTGCCTCTCCCCATCTGCCCTTCCCTTGTCCCCCCTGGATATGCCCTGGTGGGTTTTCCGAAAAGAGAGGGAGACCCTTCTGGAGAAACCAGGGCCCATGCCCAGGGGGGCCTTGGCAGATGCCAAGCCCACAGCCGAGGGAGGGGCATGGGGGTGGCAGGAAGGTGCCGAACCTGTTCTCCCACTGAGGGATTTGGGATCTGCCGCCACCACCCCCGCCAGGAATTGGGGAGTGGGAGAGAGAGTCAGAGAGCAGGCCACGTAGCCTGGAGCCTCCTATGTCCCCAAAGTGAGGAAACTGAGATTCACGTAAAACCCGAGGACAGGTGTTGGTGGTGGAAGCCTCGGAGGGGGCCAGCGTGGTGGGGAGGCCTTGGGGCTGCGACTGCACTGCCCCACCCAGAGGAGAAGTGGCACTGGGTCTGGTGGCGTGGCCCGCATTACATGGCACAGCTCATGAGGGGCCTGCAGGACTCCCTGGCATCTAACCGTGGATTCAGGGCACGTCCATTCAGTCACCCTGCCCCACATGCACATACTTTATGAGGCCCTTTCTTCCTGGAGTGGAAGCAGAAGGCTCACCTAGGTTTCCTTTCCCTGCCTCGCATATGTATTTCAGGCAGGAGCTGAAAGCACGTACGTGTGTGTCCAGACTCTCAATTTCATGGCAGCAGGTGATTCATAGGTTGACTCAACTGGCCAATTTTTCACCCCCAGGGACTCTCTTGTCCCTCTCTGCAGCCCCTCTGGTTGATGGGGACACAGCAGAGGCCGGCTCTTTGTCATAGTAAACTCGGCCAGACATGACCAGGAAGGGAATCTGTCAAGACAAAAATACATAAATGCCTTTCCAGGCCAGAGGGGATGGCGTTGGATTGCTGGCTGGTTGCTGTGTTTGGGAGGAAGAGTCCAGCCACCATCCTTGGTGGGGGGGGGTGGCAGATAATTGTGTCTGTGTGTGTTGTAACATGTGGCTGGTGCCCAACTCCGTGGACAAGTAGGGCCTCTGACCCGGGCTCTGGGGAGCTGCAGAGCTGGGGTGTTGGCAGCCATCCCCCCAAAGTAGGGTGGGGTCCCAGGCACTGGGACTGGGGAGCAGAGCCCTTCCAGAAGAGGCAGGTGAAGGTCCAGGGGGAGACTCCTGGGTGGGAGAGTGGGCTCTGGATGTCTTACACGGCTTAGGAGAGCAGGCGATTGGCGGCAGCAGCTGGAATGGGGAAAGAAGGCAGCTGGCACCAGAGATGGACTGGGAAGGACTAGGGGGTGGGCTGGGGGTGGCAGGAAGAGGAGGCTCCCCTTCTTGCCCCAGGAGCGATGGAGTCTTGCTTCCTGCAGGAGCTACCCAAAGAGTGCAAAGAGTGGAATCCTCTTCAGATGCATCTGGCTTTCGTTAGGCACAGGCCAAGGGGGGAGTCTAAATATATCAGAGGCAGAGCTACCACCCAGCGAGAGAGAGTCCTGGGCTAGAAACCCGATACCCAGGGTGGGGGCTGGTGGTGGTGTCTCTGACGCAAAACTAGCGAAGCTCTGTTCCAGTCACTTGGGCTCTTCCAGGCAGCCAAACCTGGGGCAGAGGCCTGGAGGGGGTGAGAGCTCACGGCACTCCGGCAATCCGGGCAGCCATGGGCTAAGGTCGGGGAATTTCAAGGACATGAGAACCTTAGAAAGTCCCGGTTTGACAATGAGGGGCACAGAGGTGGGGGGTGGCTCACCCAAGATCACCCAGCAGATTGGCAGTAGAACCAGGACTAGATCTAGGTCTTGGGATTCACTGCCCAGGAGCTCAATGGCTTCGGAGTGGTCACTGGGGCTCCAGGCCAGGTCCCCAGGGCCAGGGTCCCTTGTGGCATGTGTCTTCCATCTGGGATGCCGAATTTCCACACTCACGTATTGATGGGAGAAAGGTGGGCAAGAGGCGTGCTCAGGCAGTGGGTCACTTCGCACAGGGCACTGGGGCACTCTCGGGCACAGCTGTCGGGCTCTGGGGATGTTGGCCCATCCTGGGGCAGGATGCAGGGAGGAGGGGGCTGGAGGGGAACCGGCTAACGGAGTCCCTCCTTCCTTCCCATCTGAAGACACTGTTGGTTGTGTTCACACGGTGTCTCCACTGCCTGATGAGCAGTTGTCAACCAGAATCATTGAATTCCTCGGGCCATCACCGTCCTCAGGAAGCTCACTGTCCTTGGGAAGCAGGGTTTCTGGTGATCTGAAAGGGAACTGAGGGTGAAGAGCTTGCCCACATTCCTGCCCTCTGGGGACAGGTTGGATGACCTCAGCTTCTAGAAGCTTCCTAGCACTCTAGGGTCTAGGGCTTAAGGAAGGGTCACGGGTGACATTCAGCATCAAGGCGATCTTGAGAAATACAGGCGTAAACTAACATAGGGATGGGCAAGTTAAGTCCCTCAGTGCAGACTGCTTCCCCATAGAGGAGGCACTTGGAAGATTTCTTGTTCTGACGCTTCTGATCGCCAGCTTACCTGGCAAGTGGCCTCTCCTTAAAAAAAAAAATTAAAGATTAAAATAAAAAACTTTAACTTTTAAAAATTTGCAGTGAATAAATACAACCTGGAGTTGTCCCATTAATCTTGTTCCCATGAATGCTTCTCACAGCATGCTGTCGCTGGTGGCAAGGCAAGATCATTTTAAAAGTTTCTGCAGCTGAACATAAAACAAGAAAGAGTAATTAGTGTCTTTTTCTCCCTTGGTATTTAAAAAAAAACATAAGCTGCACCCAGACCCATAATTTCACAGATGCTGTTTGGTAGAGTGAAACTAAGGATGATACTTTGAACTTTAAAAGTTTTTTTTATATATATACTTTTTTTTTTTTTTGAATTTTAAAGTGAGCTCCATGCTCAGCATGGAGCCCAGTGCCGGGCTTGAACTGACGACCCTGAGATCAAGACCTGAGCTTAGGGCAGCCCCAGCGGCGCAGCGGTTTAGCGCCGCCTGCAGCCCAGGGCGTGATCCTGGAGACCCGGGATCTAGTCCCACGTCAGGCTCTCTGTGTGGTGCCTGCTTCTCCCTCTGCCTGTGTCTCTGCCTCACTCTCTCTCTCTGTCTCTATGAATAAATAAAATAAAATCTTTAAAAAAAAAAAAAGACCTGAGCTTAGATTGAGAGTCGGACGCTCAGCCAACTGAGACGCCCAGGCGCCCCAACTTTAAAACTTTTTTTTTCAATAATCGAAATATTTTGTCAATAAGCACAGGTGACCTGAGGCAAAAATCTTAGGCCTGGAGTGACTGACATTTGGGAAGTGGCACAACTGTAGCTTATGGGGTGGACACGGTTCACACTTTCCACAGCACAGCCCATGGCGGGGCATCCAGGAGCCCCTCGCCCGAGCTCCTCTGCTGCAAAGAGGCTCCTGCGTTCAGCTTCAGGCCGAGCGGCCACTCGGCTTGCCAGGGAGTCTCTCCTACTTCAGTGAGG